CCCACCCACACACCCACACCCACACCCAAGATAGTTTTTTTTTTGCAATAGTTGCTTACATGAGCTCTCAACCTGACGGTACCTTAGATGTTAAGGCAGTGTGATTTTCACAGAAGGGTGTTTTTTTCATTTCTGGTGAGTGACTACAACAACTGACATTTTTTTCTATTGAGACATAAAGAAAAAAGAAAAAAAATCGAAACATTAATAAATTGTATGAAGCGGATGGTTGACAAGCGAGAGCAACATAAGTGAAACACATTTGCACAGGTAAGGGTGTCCACTGTTTTCTTCGCTTCACTTTCGTCTTCGTCTTCTTCCGAGGAAAACAATTTTGTTGACTGATTGTCCAATAATGATTTCATCAGCATTGTTTTATCATGAATAATTTGGTTCTCACATCAAACGAACTAGTAATGCTAATTTTATTAAATCACTTTTCGCACAGACTATTTGTCACTTATTTATATAAAAAAGAACTGCCCTGAAACTATTGGTTAAAAATGCCAGACAAAAGTTCTCTTAATCATTGTAGCAAGCGAAGTAAAGGGTATCAGACTCTCGACGTGATGCTTATCAGACATTTTCAATTTATTGTAGTTTATCCTTCATTTGAACCAATGAGATATTTCCATAGGCAGCGAAAATCTTTTCAGAATATGTTTAATCGCGCAAAAACAGGCATTAAATCCTCGAAAACTGTATGTTCTTCAGTCATAACTCACATTCCTGACTGTGAGTTAAAAAAACCTAGTTTTCGATCATTGGCTACCCATACAGGTACTTCTTTCATTGAGAAAGTGTTCAAAGTCTCAAAACAACGACAGAAGCATTCATTTTTCATTAAGTTCGATCTTGCACGATCGTAAACGGTCGTGGCCTAGTGAATCTCGATGAAAAACGGCAACCGTGAACGGTTGTTGTTTACAGTCATCATATATGTCAACTGGAAAACGTTAACCAGACGTTCACCGTTTATTAACGTGCTTTGTCGTAAACGATCGCTTTCGTTGACATACTCCTCTTATGCTATGTTATGGTGAAGTCATAATTACTAGCCTAGGCTACTTGAGTTTACATGTATGATGTTTCGGATATGTTAAGAGGCTAACAAATGCAAAGTTTCAATACAAATGTGGTCAATGACCAAAAGATCTCATTCGTAGTTATGTTATTCATTTCCAACCATTCGGGAGTCCCACCGGAGACTGTCTAATGATTGTGAATGAGGTTTTCGCCCATAGACTATATACAGCGAAGGGTGACACGGTTAGGCAAATATAAGCATAGATGCGAAACATTTAAAACATCTTACGATAGAGGGGTGTGAGCTGTTGAGGGAAAAGATTGACTATATTCGGATCAAAAGAAAGCTTCTGTCGAGAAACTAACGAATTTGAATTATGAACTGCGTATGGCTTATCTGGAAAGAAATTTTCGATTTGTAAGTTATGTATTTTTAGGGTATATGCAAACATTATAATACAGTACTGGACAAAAGTAACGGCCTCCCTAAAGTGGTTCGAATTTAATTGATACTGAGCTAATTTTTGAATGCATGCAAGTCATGATAGACCCTGATCGCAAGCCCTGATCTGCCCTCAATTGATTGCTATATATCGGAGTATTGAGTCGAACATTATCTTCACCTTCTGATCAGAGGCCGAAACGGGATGAATTTTAGCTACCCCGCGTCGCCTCGCTCCGAGCTTAAAGTTCTTTTTCCGCTAACCTCCCTCGCCTCGCCCCCGTCTTCAATTTTTTTCTTCGCCTCGTCCAGCTCAGCCCCGTGTCCCTTACTCCCCGCCTCGTCCCGCCCCGTGTGAGTTTCTCCTGATCCTGTCTCGTTCCACCCCACCCCGTGAAAGTTGTCCCTCGCCTCGCCTCACCCCACCCCGGGTTTGGTTTTGTCGCTGCATCACTTCTTACATGTTTATAAGATATTTGTATTTCTTTGACCCCATCATTTATTTGACATATTGGAAGCAGATACAAAAATGCAGGAGTACAAAAAATATACAGAGTAGCACAACAAAAATACATAAACCAATATCTAAACATTCTTGTAGTATGGCCTGCAAGCCTGAATCAGATATTATTTGAAAGGGTCTCATGCCACGAACTACCCAACGAACAAATAATTTTTTAATAATTTCTTTTTTTTCTTTTATAACTTTTGATATAAGTGTTGAGCGTGAAGGTGGTGACGATGATGATGCTGTTGGTGATGATGTAAAAAATGATTTTAATTGCATTTGAGTACTGGAAATATCTTTTGGACATTTATGATCTCGTATACTACTAGTATTTGAGTCCAAAAATCGATATGTTTGAAAACATTTATTACATGATGAATAATTTGGTATAGTTTCATATCGGTTTCGATTTTTAGCAATTCTTCGCGCTGGTAAACCAAATTTTGTCCAAATATCACTTGAAACATTTTTCCTATTTTTTAAAATAACATAATCTTCTTGGTTGATTCAACAAATGCCTTTATGTTCTATCTTCCATTTTATTAATCACAGTAACAGGTTGTATCCAATCACTATTCTTCCAATCTTCTTTCAGTGTTGAGAAAATAAAATATCATGATACAGAGACATCTCTCATTAAACGGGTATACAATTATTCACATTCATTATTTATAAATGAGAATTTATTCTGTTAAGTTTATCATGTACAAACTTTGAATATATATTTCAACTCCGCCTCGCTTCGCCCCGATGCACTTTCTACTCGGCTCGCATCGCCTTGTCATAACTTGAACCCGCTTCGCCCCGCCTGTTTTCGTCCCGCCAAAAATTTCCCTCGCCTCGCCCCCGAGAAAAAAGCTCCCTGTCTCGAGGGCCCTCCTCAATTCTTCGCCCCATTTCTGTCTCTGCTTCTGATAGGTATATCTGAACCGCCTTGATAGATTTATTTTGGCGGAACATCTCATTCGAAAGCTCGTCATCGACAATATCTCTAATCCCTTCTACGTTATGAACAACGATCACAAGATTCGAGAAAATTTAGCGAATAAATCATGTTAAACAATATATCTTCCTTCTTTATTAATGACAATAATTCCAGATGGCCCTAGCTCTATATCATAGAAGATACACATCTTGTACATTGTTGCTGATGAAACAATATAATTAAGGGTACCCCCTCCCCTCTTTTTTTGATCTAAAACTCGATTTCGAGCTGGGCATAAGGTATGATAGCCTCAAGTGTTATGTGCAATTAGAGACATCATTCGACCCTAAACACTTAACTATTATAGAGTTACTAAATTAAAGAAATTTTTTTTTCATAATAATTATAAGAAATCTTTTTTCTTTTACTTAGTGTAGCGCAAAATTACAATTTTCTCAGTTGTGCCTGCTTACGACCCCTCTAACTTTCTCCGATCGAGCTGAAATTTGTATCATAGATACTTTGAAGTATTCCCCAGAGGTAGTTTTGACTGTTTTAATTTCTGATGCTTCCATCCGGATTTATAGGGTTCGCAAGGTCAAAAACCTGGTTCTGGCAAAAAAACCTTTACGTATTTTTTTATAAAAAAAGAAGAGAGATTTTTGAAAACGCTCAAAATTACCTCTGAGATATAGTCGTAGCTATCCACAAAAAATATTTCCAGCCCGATCAGACGAAGTTAGGAAGGTGTTGTCCTTGGTAAGATGAAAACCTATGGGAAACCAAGATTTTTCATAAAAAAGTATGAAAACCGCCTTAGAGAATTTTTTCCTCAAACACGTGTCTCATCATTTTAGGTGTTCTATTTATGGTAAAAATTTTATTTCGATCGGTCTTACTATCTTCGAGATCTAGAAATGGACAAAAAAAGAGGGGGAGGTACCCTTAATGATTTTTATGTGCTCGAACAAATTTTTGAATAAGCAAAAAGCTCCGGTTTAGTTTTTGAAGATAAAACAGAAATTATTTTAGATTGACGATGGGAAGTCTTATAATTTCAAAGTCAAACTATTTCTATTTGTTTATCTTCTTGCAGAGATAGTTTTAATTGATTTTCTTATCTAGAAAGAAAGTTCTACTTTGACTTTTTCATGTATCCAAAGCTCATTACATGCGATCAAGATTTCAGCGATTAATAAGCAATGTCATGAAAAGGTCTTGTTGTGGTTCTCTATGAACATTATTAGAAGCTGTAGTTATGAAACTTTCAGAATATAGTCAGGAGCATATATTAACTTTGTATTGAAATTTTTGAGTACATCGGTCACTGCCTTCTTGAATTACATATGTTCGAACGAATTCTTGGTTTAATCGATATACCAAGATTTTCATTGAGAAAGGCATATCTCAACCATTTTAATATCAATTGCTATAAAATTCGCACTAAAGATAGTTTCAACGATGAGCTTTCAAATGAGATGTTTCGCGAAAATAAATCTATCAAGGCGGTTCAGATATACCTATCAGAAGGTGAAGATAATGTTCGACTGATCACTCTGATATATAGCAATCAATTGAGGGCAGATCAGGGCTTGCGATCAGGGTTTATCATGACTTGCATACATACAAAAAAACAGCTCAATATCAATTAAATTCAAACCACTTTAGGGAGGCCGTTACTTTTGTCCAGTACTGTATTATAATGTTTGCATATACCCTAAAAATACATAACTTACAAATCGAAAATTTCTTTCCAGATAAGCCATACGCAGTTCATAATTTAAATTCGTTAGTTTCTCGACAGAAGCTTTCTTTTGACCCGAATATAGTCAATCTTGTCGTTCAACAGTTCACACCCCTTCATTCTAAGCAAGTAAAATATTAATGATGGATATTGCTTTTCGTATGATAGGAGAAATATTCTACATTGCAAAGTAAAACAGTACATATGAATCGTTATATCGATGGCTGTCAGCTACTAAGCCGAAAAACAATAAGAAAGTATGATGCAATTATAATGCAAAATCAATGCTGTTATATACGGAGCGAGTGTGCAAAAATAGTCAGTTCAAATGCTAAAACAAGTGTTCATCCTTTGAAGAATTAGAGTGACAGTATCTTTGCAACAATTTTTCCTTTTTTGATGATTCAAAGTTTTACAATATGGTGACTTTCAAAATGGCACGTTTTTAGAATTCTGTTTTATAAACATTAATAAAGAGTAAACCATAATATCTATTCTTATTTTTTTTTCTTCTCTCATATAAGTAAAACTTATGCGAAAAGTCTCAAATAAAATTGTAATAGGATTTTAACGTATATTTTTAATACGCTCTTATCATTTCTTCATAAATATTCCGGTTAACAGTTGAAATCTACATTTGGAACACTATAACTATACTTTGTGATTTGATAATAAATTTATAAAACACATAATTTCAAAAAATTAAAAACAGTATGTTACCTTTGGTAGCTATAAATTCGGAAAGAATAGTTCCTGAATGGTATTCCCTTTCTATAAACTTGATCAATTAATTGAGTGGATATAGATAAAATACGTTATTTTTATACTCTAAGAGAAAATTCATCATGTTTGTTGATTTCATAGCAATATAATATCATGAATTTTGAGCTAATTAATTTTGATGAAAACGCCCGATTTTCGGATATGAGTGTTCTTCTTCAGACTCGTGCAAAGATGAGGCATTTCAAAGTGTTTCCTCTGTTATAACCGTTTTATGTCCTTTCTACAATTGAAATTTCTCTAAGTCCACCCAATCTGCATCAATCCGAGAGAATCAAAATAACATGTGGCAGGAAGACAAAAGCTGTTAGCGCAACTCCTTCGCGATTAAAAATGTGAAACATGATGGACCTGTTGCTACTAATTGACTGAGCATGGTTTTGTTCAATTTCGTCACGGTGTATTTCTCGCTTGCCTTTCAATTTATAGTTCAAAACTACACTTTCTCTGTCTCGATCTGTGACCGTCTCTGCCATAAACTATGACGACCACTCAAGTTCTCTGTCGCGGTCTGTGATGGAGCTGGAGCTTCGTCTATCAGGGTGTGTAATGGGTCTGCAGCCCCGTCTGTCACGGTCTGTGATCGGTCTGAAACCTCCTCTGTCACGGTCTGTGATGGGCCTGGAGCCCCGTCTGTGGCGGTCTGTGATGGGTCTGAAACCCCGTCTGTCTCAGCCTGTGATGGCTCTGAAGCCCCATCTATCACAGTCTGCGATGGGTCCAAAGCCCGTCTGTCACGGTTTGTGATGGGTCTGGAGCTCCGTCTGTCACGATCTGTGATGGGTCCAAAGCCCGTCTGTCGCGCTCTGTGATGGGTCCAAAGCCCGTCTGTGACGGGATCAAAGCCCGTCTACCACGATCAATGATGGGTCTGCAACCCCGTCTATCACGGTTTGTGATGGGTTTGGAGCCCCGTCTATCACGGTCTATGATGGGTCTGGAGCGCCGTCTATCAGGGTGTGTGATGGGTCGGGAGCCCCGTCTGTGACGGTCTGTGATGGGTCCAAAGCCCGTCTATCACGGTTTGTGATGGATCTGAAGCTACGTGCGTCACGGTTTGTGATGGGTCTGGAGCCCCGTCTATCAGCGTGTGTGATGCGTCTGCAGCCCCATCTGTCACGGTCTGCGATGGGTTTGGCGCCCAGTCTATCAGGGTGTGTGATGGGTCTGAAGCTACGTCCGTCACGGTCTGTGATGGTTCTGAAGCCACGTCTGTCACGGTCTGTGATGGGTCTTGAGCCACGTCTGTCACGGTCTTTGATGGGTCTGAAGCCACGTCTCTCACGGTATGTGGGGGTGGGTGTGTGCAAAATTTCTACTCATAAACACTTCAACACTCCTTTTAGATCGTGTTTGACAAAAAAGAGAAAAAGTCTCAGATCTCGTTTCTTTTCTTTCAAATAGACATCAGCATACATTAATATAGACATGGTAAGTAAAGTTAGCTGATTTTCTTCAAAGTGTATTCTCAATAATATGTTTTTAGAAGGAAAAGGACAATTTGAATTTCGCTGAAAATTATGTATTAAGTGGTCTTGCTGCTGTTCTATTGAAAACAGCTAGTGCACCTATTGATCGTGTTCTATTACTGGTACGAAATCAAGGTGAAATGATCAAGCAAGGTGTAATCAGTCGCCCATACTCGGGCATAATCGATTGTACAGTGCGAACAATTAAAAGTGATGGTCTTCTTCCATTTTGGCGAGGCAATGTGGCTAGATGTATTCGATATTTTCCTATGCAGGTTGGTTTTGAATCAATTATTTAGAAATACATATTATCGAATTTTTTCTTTTCTAAGGCTTTGCATTTCGCTTTGAACGAAAAGATTAAAACAATGTTGAAATATAGGAAAAATAATTCTCATATGAAGAACCTCGCTATAAATGTATCAAGTGGTAGTGTTGCTGGTATGTTGCCATGGTGTTTTTTATATCCAGTTGTTCATCCTCTCACACGTTTAGCTGATGATAGAAAAAATGTAAAAAAAGGTGGTGAACGTAAGTACAATGGATTGCTTGATGTTTATAAAAAGACCTTACAATCTGATGGTATCGTTGGTCTTTATCGTGGTTTTGTTCTACCATGTGTTGGTCATATTATTTACTATGGATGTTACTTTGGTGTTTATGGTACATTAAAACCAATTTTACTTGGTCCAGATGGTAGTATTATCTTATCATTTTTACTTGGATATAGTGTAGCAGTTACATCACATCTTATTTCATATCCAGTCGATAAAATTCGACTACGTATGATGATGACATCAGGTCAAGCTGTTAAATATAAAGGATCATTAGACTGTATGATTCAAATTTTATGTAATGAAGGTGTTGGGGCATTGTTTAAGGGAGTTGGTGTCAAGATTATTCCAAGTGTCGCTGGAGGGGCTATGTTGGCTAGTTTCGATAAACTCGTACAACTCTATACTGGTGTTAAATTTGACACTAATACTAATTAGTTGAGGATAATAAAAGTGAAAATTGTTGGAGAAATTGAGAATGTGTTAAAATCGTAAAAATAATTTAGATTCAAAGCGGAATACGATGTGTTTCAACTATTGTTTCTGAAGTCATCATTAGATAATCTCTAGAAACTACGGTTGCTAATTAAAAGAAGTAAAATTTTTCTATATCTTCGAGAGCATAGAATAGTAAAGAATATCTTGTGTTCAATGTTGCAATTGCGGGAATCGATGTATATCATGAAAAGAAAGCTAGAAGTACTCGTTTCGATCTTGTTTAAGAATATCATCAGGTAAAATTGTAATTACTAATTAAATTAGTTATAAAGATTATCATTTTCATATTTAAAGAAATTTAGAACGATTGATTGAATCGAAGACTCTCAAAAGGATTCTAATGGTGAGAAATCAGATTTTGGAAAATTCATCTTAATCGTCATTATGATTTTGCAGATTTGCTTTTCGTTTCAGAAAATAACATGAGATATATTTTGCTCTTGCTTTTAAAGAAGAGATGAGCATGATTAAAGTATGTAGATAGATATATCAAATACTGATTATTTTTTTTTTTGGAAAAGTTATAGATCGATTCATAAAAATTCAAATATGTAAAGTATTGTTTCTATGATTTTCCGATAAGCAAACTGATATATAATGACTTTTGAAAAAAATTGAATAACTTGTGAAAGTCATTTTGTCTTCACATTGAGAAGTATGATATGTATTCGGAGATAAAATGCATGAAGAAGTGAAATATCAATGTTCAATAATAAGGTAGTAAAATAGAGAGTATTCAAACGTTTGATTGTTCTATATATCGACATTTTTAATAATCCCAATAAGGTTATATGGAAAATAAAATGTGCGAAAGATTTTTTTATGATTATATTCTGAGTTGTAAAGTTTAGTGAGAGATTTTTCATGTTTTTTTCTGAAGAGATTCGGGTGTGGGTGTGGGTGTGGGTGTGGGTGTGGGG